AATATCTGAACCAGACAGCTACTGCAAAGACCTCCATATAAGTTAACAAGGTTTTCATCCATCATTAAAGAAATAAGAAAACTTCTGACAGAAAACAAATCATCGTAAACAAAGTACTTCTTTGAGCAAAATCTACCTTCCAATTTAATTCTACGTTATCTAGTAAGTCATTTTTTGTCCTCAAGTATAGTAAAAAAATCTAGTTCCAGACCCTAAGCCCCAGATGGATACATACCAGGTCCTCCTAAGGGCAGGAGGACAGAGGCACACAAAATGTTGTACAAAGAAGACCTAAGGCAATGAAGTTTCAGGCTAAAATCGTGATCTTAGCAACAGTTCAGGACTTGTGCTATATTTTAATTCAAATCAACTGTAATCCTCTGCCACTCAGCTGATTGTCCCATGATCCCTATAATTCCCTAAGCAATGGATAGTGATAAGGCAGAACCAAAATAATTCCATGCAGATACAGAAATAAAGCATGCACTACAGCCAATAAAGGGAAAATGAAACCTAAACCAACAAAGTGTGTTTTCAATTTGCTTCAGATCTTAGCATATAAGCATGAAGAAAGAGAATGACTAAGTAACAGGTGCTTTTTTGTGATCAACAATATGACTTTGTATTTATAGAGCATTTCACATTTTCAAAACATTTTCCTGTAGATTTTATATAATTAGATCCTCACAATCTTCTACAAAGTTGGCAAAGCATTCATTTTTACCTTCATTTTACAGGAAGGGAAAATAAGATGATAGGTTAAGTAAGTGTCAGGTCAACAGTCACAAAACTAATAAGAGGTGAAGCTGGGGCTACAATCACTGTAGCTAATATTGCTCAATCACCTCATTTTATAAACAAGGACACAGTGGTCCAGACAGATTAACTGAACTTCCCCTGGTCACATACTCCACAATGAAAAAAACTAAGACCAGAAACTCACGGTCCACCATCTTCAGCCAACGTTTATTTTACTACAACTGTAGTGCTTGACTCTGATTACACATCAGAATAACTTAGAAAGCTTCCAAAACGCTGCTACCCAGGACCCATTCCCAAGCAATTACATCAGAGGTGAGGCCTATACATCAGTATTTCTTTTTTCAATATGTATAGATATATTTAAAGTTCCCCAGGTGACTCTAATGTACAGCCAAGGCTGAGACTTATATCTAATGTATAGCTAAGGCTAAGACTTACACTATATCATGGATTTCACATGAACAATTGATATAAGAATCAACTCTTGAGTTTTCTAATCATTTTTTATTTCTCGAACTTACATAATAAAACCAGGAGAAAAGTTGTCCTCTGGGTTGGTAATGGCTATCGACAATGACCAGAAGAGTATCAAACACCATGGAAACCCACACTTTCATTGAGAGGAAATTAGGTTGAACCTGCAGATGAAGGGAAACATGAAATGATAATGGGAAAAAAAGAAAAAACCTAAACTTTATTTCTAGAACCAGGGTACAACCTCCTTCTGTATGAAAGAATGAAGTGCTGTTATTAAAAACTAAACTTCACCTGCCAGGACTGCATGAAGTAGATAGGTATTTGACAAATACACATCCTCACCTGTGCCCCAATGTGAATAAGACTTACCTTTCATATAAGACTTAGCAGAGGTGAGAGGATGAGGGCTGCAAAACAGAACAGATCTGGGAGCTCCTTAGAGCTCTCCCGTGTTCAGTGAGGGTAACATGGTGGTTAAAGGGAGAGACGTGCAGAGAAACCAACTCAAACTTTCTCATTTCTGACTTGTCATTTCAATAAAGCAGCTGACAAAATGTTTTTACCATCTCTAGCATTTCTTACTATCACTATACTTATCATTCAAGAATCATCACAGTTGCCTAGCCAAGTAAGTAAGAAAACATAAATGATCTTCAGTTTGGAAAAGAAGAGGAAAGAGAATGCAAAAAACAAAACAATGACAACAACAAAACCCAGCTCAGTAAAAAGATAACTTGGTTTAAAAAAAAAAAATCATTCATGAGGGACTTCCCCGGTGGTCCAGCAGTAAAGAATCCGCCTTCCAATGCAGGGGACGTGGGTTCGATCCCTGGTTGGGGAACTAAGATCCCACATGCAGCGGGGCAACTAAGTCTGCGTGCGTGGCGACTACTGAGCTCACGCGCCTCAAGGAGAGGGCCCATGTGCCGCAAACTACAGAGCCTACATGCTCTGGACCCCACGCGACACAACTAGAGAGAGAAAAAACCTGCACGCCACAATGAAGAGCCCATGCACCACAACTAAGACCTGACACAGCCAAAAAAATAAAGAAAATTAAAAAAAAAAAATCATTCATGACCATGGATGTCAAAAAACATTCATTAACTCACATGGTAATACACAAGTGGTGCAAACTATATAAAGGTCGATGCGGTGTTAAGAAACCTTGGAATGAATTCCTTGAATCAGACAAGACCTTCTTCTTAAGATCTTTAGTTGTTTGTCAAATGCAGATTTGAATGAAGTTTGAAAACTTCAACTTTAATCAAATAATGACATCTTGAGTTTATATTGAGTAATAGCCAAAGGCAAGGTTATCAAGAATAAAAGCAAAGCCCCATCTTTGGCTTGTGAGGCTTCTCAATGTTTTGTGTACTATGTGCCACAGCACAGGACAAAGGTTGTGGGAATAAAGAATAGAAGGGCCTGGAGCTCAAACTCTGAGCTAGACCTCCAGTTATTACTGGGGCAAATGACCTGTACAACTGGTAGTCTGACATAAATAACACCAAAACGAAGGGATCCTAGGAAGGCATGTTTACTTTTTAGGGTGTAGGTCTACCTAGCATGTTGTCTCTGCTAAAGTATTCCACGGCTCATTCAAAGATATGAAACATTTCCACTCTAAAAAATTTTCATCTTTCTCATTATTAAAATAAGAGTCTGGGCTTAAAGGTAAATTTCCATATGGTAACTAACTACATTTTTATCCTTCATGCGATAACTCCTTGGCCTCCTTCCCTTCCCCACATGTAATACACATTTGTAGCTTTTGCCACACAGCATTATTCTCTTGTTTATTGGTAATAGCAGCCTTTGGGAAATTCCCTCCTCCACGATTTAAAGCTTGGCTAAATGCTCAATCAAGCTACTCATCCTACCCTGCTGAAGGTGTAGGCATGGGACCCACGGGATTCCGAATCTTAAGTGAGTGATGCAAAGACAGTAAATGACTATAGCCGATCCATCCCAGTAGCGGTGGTCTGCTGAAATGGTTCATCAGTACCTGTGTGTGGACTCCCCAGCTTGCCTCCTGTTCTTCTCCCAACTCAGTTTTTAAGCTTTGCCTTCAATTCCACGGGATTCCAGATTCCTTATTCTTCTAGTTCCTTTTTAATTTAAATTAGAGTTGGCTTCTTGCCCCAAAAGAACCCACCAAAAAACCCTACCATGAAAAAAGAATACAAATGGTCCATCAGGCACTCTGTGGGGACAGAGATCGGCTGAATAGCATTGAATAAAGCCCAATTTTTTGCAGCAAGAAGTGATGATGCTGATGATAATAGCTACTATTACTGACTATTTACCAGCCAATGTGCCTTTCATATATTACTTCATTTAATCCTAACAATAACCCTATCTGGTAAGTATTGCTGTCCCCATTTTACAGATGGGGAAATAAGCTCTGAAAGGTGAGGTTACCAACAGTAAGCCATAGAGCTAGTAAAGGCAAGTATTAGGATTTAAATCTAGAACTCTCCTACTCCAAAGCCTGTGTTTTTTAACCACTTGACTATATTGTCTCCAGATAATGATAGCTACCAGAAAACGGGGCTTAAAAGAAGAATCCATGCCTTTTTATTTTGACAGATATGAATTATCTGAAAAAGTACACTGGAAATGAACATTGGCCAGCTTGTCACATGTTTAATTAAGAAATAAATGCCTTGCAAAAAATGAATAGGCACTTTGTCATTGACATCTACAATTAAAATGCAAAGTGCAATTTTTTTCAGTCAGTAAACACTGCTTATTTATCCTTTTTTTGACATCACTGTTCACTTTCAGTAAGCCTAGTTAACCTCCTAAGATTGGTTACCATGATGTAATCACAAAAAGACAAGCCCTGTTGCATAAAATTGGTACCTTCAAATGGAAATGACCACTTAACTGTGATGGAGAAAGCAAAACAGAAAAGCAGCAAAGAAAAGTGTTTTAGAGGACACTAAGGCTTACGGTATAAAGATGCATAGGGTAGCACAGCCAATGACTGTAACCTCCTAAATTCAGGGCCAGGCTTTAGGAGAAGTCTCACTTTTCACATGTTAAACAACCAAAGGTCAACTGGTTCTAATCACCCTTAACTCACCTCCAGGTCACCCTCAGAGTCTGAGGAGAGGCTGGCTTCATGTTTGGAAACGACGACAGCAAGGCTGCTTAAGGCTAACAGCGCGTTGCCTTTGACCACTGGGCTGTCTCTGTTTAAAAAGAAAAAAATTCCAAGAGAGGATTTGGGGGCATTAACCGGGAGAAGAGAAGGTGCTCTTATAGGGAGGGCAGATGAGATCAAAAGCACTTCCTTCCATCCCTTCACAGAGCCTTCTAAACACAGGTCTGTTGGTTCCCTGATGCCAGCAGCTTCTTTCCTCCTTCTGACACTAGTGCTGATTTTTAACTCTTCTTATAAATGTATGGTCATTATGCTTTGGGGAACCTAAAAAATCGAATGAGCTCATACGTCTAAGCTTCTTCTTCCTAAAATTTTTATTTCATCATTAGACCTGACATTTCCCAAGCCATCTTCTTCGGTGTCATCTTTGGCCAATATGAAAAATGTATTGATTTGTTTTGGAAACACGGCAAAGGACAGTTGTGTGAATAAGCCCAGCACAATGCAACTGGCCCCTGGCTTTTCTAAAGCACTGGTGTGTGGAATCAGCTTCTAGTGAACCACTTCAGACGGCATATACTTTAACAGCAACTCGACACGCTGGCGGCTTTCCTCCGTCATTATCATTTCCCCCTTCTTTCTCTTAATATGCCAAAGCCAGCAACCTTAAAGTCAGTCTGTAACATAATTCAGAAACCCTAGATAAGATGCAAAAAAAGCTTGTTTTTAGACTATTTGCATAGAGTCTTTTTATATCACTCAAATGGTAGTTTTCTAATATTGGCAATAAAATCTTAAGTTTGACTTATGAATTTGGTATCAAGAAAACTGAATTTTTTAAATACACTTACCACTGGAAAATGTACATTTAGTATTATTCCATAATTCCAAAGTAAGCCTATAGAATAAAATCCCCAGTGGGACACTGATGAGATGCTCTTGGCTTGCGGACTTCATCGTAACAGAACTCAGGCAACACAGCACCCTTACCATCGGATAGTTCAGTTCTCAGGGAGTTCTACGATTGTGGGTTCCCATAAATGCAGAGAATCCTTCCCCAAACCTGGACTTGAGACCTGAACTTTAATCAGTGTGTACATCCAAGAACTGCTCCCTTGCTTACCCTGGTGCAGGAATAGAGCAGATAGGTGGGATGAGGAAGATTTCCAGCCCTGCTCCCCATGCAAGCCTAGTGCCTCCGGCCCTAGGCCACAGTCATGACTGAACATGTGAGTCAGTGAGTATCAAAAGGTTAGTATACACCTGTGTTCTTGCATTTTTGTTTCCATTTGGTAAAAATGGAACTCAGGACTTGCCATTATCAAGTTCTCTCAATCCATCCATTCCTTCCTTCCTTCTCTCTCCTACTCTGGGGTGATTAAGCTCAGGGAAGGCTTGTTCTGCACTCTTGATCATTTTGTTCATCTCTTCTTAGATCATTCCTCCATGAGGTCTGTCATACATTGATAAGACAACAACATTTACACTGAGGGATGGGGCAGGGGGAGAAAACAGAAAGGAAGCCTTGAGGTTGAAGCAGGTTTGCAGTGAGGATTACTGGGAACTCCTATAGCTAACAATAAAATCCCAGGAAGCAAGGCAAGATGTGGGCATGCCCAGGTGCCCTAGCCAGAAAATCATTTAACAAAATCAAAATTAAATCCTTTATTTATTTATTTAATTTTTTTTGGTGGCGCAGTGGTTGAGGGTCCGCCTGCCGACGCAGGGGACACGGGTTCGTGCCCTGGTCCGGGAGGATCCCATATGCCGCGGAGCGGCTGGGCCCGTGAGCCATGGCCGCTGAGGCTGTGCATCCGGAGCCTGTGCTCCGCAACAGGAGAGGCC